TTCTACCATGAACACTTCCAGAAATATGCAATATAAAAAATTCGGTTTGTATTGGTGGTGCCACGCCCCCTTTTCCAATAGCTCCTATTTTTCTCATAGAGCATGCGATTAATTTCGTATATCTCCATACCAAGTTGCAGAATTCTACCGTGAACACTTCCAGAGATACATAGTATGAAAAATTTGGTTTGTATGGGAGGTGCCACGCCTCCTTTTTTCTCCAAGAGTATGCGATTGATTTCGTATATCTCCATACCAAGTTCCAGAACTCTACCATGAACACTTTCAGAGATATGTAGCATGATAAATTCGGTTTGTATGGGAGGTTCCCTTTTTTCAATAGCTCAAATTTTTCTCCAAGAGTATGCGATTGGTTTCGTTTGTCTCCATACGAAGTTCCAGAACTCTATCATGAACACTTCCAGAGATATGGAGTTTGAAAAAATACGGTTTGTATTGGAAGTGCCACGCCTCCTTTACATATAGAATTTTTTTAGCCGTAATCAATCCTTGAACACGTGCGGCAGATGGCTGAAGTTTTAAAATAATTGGTTCAGCCGTTCTTGAGCTTTGTGAACACTTAAAAAACGGCTTTCAAAATATACATATATTAGTATATATATATTATATATCATTACTATATTTTGGCTGTATCTGTTGTATCTGATTGCCGGGATAAAAACTTGTCCCTTGATATGGTGGTTGCTCAAAGCTATTTATATTCGAAATTGCATGAAAATTCGAAAACAGGATCCTATAAGCTTATCTAGGCAAAAAGCTACCTACGTACAAAATTCTAATCAAATCGGACCATAGATAAGATTTTTCGAATAGATCGGTCCCTGGCCCACTTCTCAGAAAAAAGGATATTATATGCTAATCTAGGCAAAAAGCTAACTACGCACCAAATTTTAAGCAAATCGGACCATAAATACGATTTTTTCGAATAGATCGGACCCTGGTCCACTTCCCGGAATAAGAATCCTATATGCTAATCTAGGCAAAAAGCTACCTACGTACCAAATTTTAAGCAAATCGAACCATAAATACGATTTTTCCGAATAGGTCGGTCCCTGGTCCACTTCCCGGAAAAAAGGATCCTATATGCTAACCTAGGCAAAAAGCTACCTACGTACCAAATTTTAAGCAAATCGGACCATAATAAGATTTTTTCGAATAGATCGGTCCCTGGTCCCCCTACCGGAAAAAAGTAAATTTTTTAAAGCCTAAACATGGTGGTTGCTAAAAGCTATTTATTTCATTAAAATCGGACCAGCCGTTCGCGAGATTACCTGTTACAAAAAAAGCGACTTCTCTTTATATGGGCCAATCTAAAAAATAGGTACACTTCAAAAAAATGTATTTTTAAATTTGTGAGCACACCTATGTTTTATATATCATTTTATTCGTATTCTCTTAATAAATCTATTAATATTAGTGTAATTCATTTTCATTAAGTGCTTCAAAAGTTAGGCGAGGAATAAGCATGATATAGAAAACAAAAGAATAAGCTTCGTTCAAATTACGTGGTTCAAGTTGTAAACTTTGAACAAAGATTTTAGAACGAAAGTTGAACTTAATTGGGACGTTCTGAATTCAATGGCATCCCCCGTTTCACCAGATTGGCTCCGGTTTTCGAGATAACGGTATTGAAAATTTTAACTATTTTATAAATAACTCCCTCAGTTTTGCAGTTATTTTACTAAAATTTTGCACATAACGGGTTTTTAATATTACCTTATCTATTCCTTATTCGTATAGCTCCAATACAACCGATTACTCAGATATGCGTTTTTGCGCTATACCTCTAACTTCATATCGGAATAATATATTATATGCGTGCTATATGTTAAAGTGAACCTATACCAAATTTTTACCTGCTTAATTGAAGGAGTTATAACGCAAAACATCGTCTCTGGACAATCAGTTGTATGGGAGCTAGTTTTTAGAGTGAACCGATTTCGATGATTTTATGAGATAGTGAAGGAAATATTAAAATACAGGCGTGTGCAAAGTTTCATGTACCGGATCTCCAAAAGTGGAGACAATCGGGCAAAACTGGGGACGCCATTGAATTTATAAAAAGGGAAAAAATTTGATTTGACACCACCTCGAAATATTTTCTGACTACAAGGAGCATAATTAAAAGTACTAGATCGGGGTTTTTACACACTTCTAGAGAACATTTTTTTGAAGCATTTAACAGGTATATGCAATGTTATAAGTACTAGTAGTTATAAAAATATTTAGGTCGTTTCGACGTATTTTCCAAATGTGCCTTCAAATAAGATATTTTTGGAATAAAAATTACGCTCAAGATCGCAAAATATTTTTTCTTTAAAAGTTGGTTTATTCTGAAAGCACACCTCTTGCTAAGGTAACAAATTATTCGTAATTGTTTGTAGAATACAATACATATTTAAAAAGTTCTTAAATTTAAATGCTTCAAAAACTATACGCGATAAACAGAAAATTTAAAAAATTCTTTCTTCTTTTTTAATGCACATTTTTCTTACCTACTACATATCGACTGCTGAGTGGAAGATCGACCTATCTGGGCAGCCAGTTCGAAAACGCCCTATCTCAAAAAACTTTTCAAGAACGCCCTTTTTCAGAATTCGTTTCAAAAACGCCCTATCTCAGCTGCCGATTCAAAAACGCCCTATATCTGTACATTTTCAATATATTTTGAAGTAAGATAGGGCGTTTTTCAACCGAATTCTGAGATAGGGTGTTTTTCAATAAAATTCTGAAATAGGGCGTTCCTGAAAAGATTTTTGAGATAGAGCGTTTTCGAACTGGCTGCCGAGATAGGTCGATCTTCCACTCAGCAGTCGATATGAAGTATACACATACAGTATTGGCCAATACAATAGCACCCCCATTTCAAAGTCATATTGTTTGCCACTCATGTTTATTTTTTTATTTTTAAGAATTTTCAATTAAAATACAGTTCATTCTCTCACAAAACTCACATAACCTCAAGTTTAAAACTTTTTAAAAGACCGCAAAAAAGTGCAACAAATTTTCACCCAAATTTCAAAATTTTTTTCTCAGAAGCGGTAGAATTTTTTTGAATACATAGTTTTATAGCCCATTCAATTTTTGTCTAATAATGTGCAAGTTTCAAGTGGCTAAAAATTACCGTTGATTTTTTAGAATTAAAAATGTATTAAATTTTTTTCAGAAAAGTTCATCAATGAGAATGGCGGCGATGAAGCGGAATATATAGCTGCATCGATGTCGCTTTTCCAATTTGCCAATAACCGCATGTAATTGAAAGCACGCAACAAGATGTAATAATTAACTTTTTTATGCTTAATTTGTATGTGTTATTGTGAATTTGTATGCTAAAATGTCTATTCCCTATTTATATTTTCGCGATTGTAGATGAGTCCGCCGAAAATTCGCATTTCGTTTGGTTTCTAGATGTTAAGCAATCGATGTATGAGTTTTTAATGAAATATCTTTAAATAAAGTGTTATAAGAATGTTTATAAAAAGCTTTCTTTTGAAAATTTTTAGTAAGTTTATATTCATACGCTTATAAAAAACTTTTTTTGAACCTTTGTTATAAGTTTACACTTTTGCGCTTATAAAAAGCTTTCTTTTGAACATGTATTACAAGTTTATATTTCTACGCTTATAACCAATGTTCCTTTTCGATTATATTACGCTTACTTTCAAGCGTTTTATAAACAAAAAATCNTGTAAGCTTAATGTTTATAATTGAAAACTTATAAAAAACTTTCTTTAAGTTTATTTTGCTTGTTGGGAAGTCTTAAAATGAGAATGTATTAGTTATGAAATAAAAAATGAGAACGTGTTGGTGGTAATGCACGGAAAAAAATTTCTGTGTTGTATTACTTAAGTAATTATTATGAAAACTTTGGTATGTTTTTTTGCAGTTTTTTCATTGTGTGTGTTTTTAGATCTAAACAACATAGAAACATATAATGAAAGTTAACGGCCCTGAGAAAGGAAAAAGTTGGTAAAATTTTGTATGTATTTTTTTTAGGGAGTGTTGCTGGAGTGACAGTCCTTGGCCAGGTATAAATCTGGATCGTTCCGGTTACGTAGACCCGACTGTCGTGCGAACGTGGGTACCCGGGTATTATTAGCCCTAGTTCGATCACTGCAAGCCTAGAGAAAGAAGTCTGATGGGGAGGTGTGGTGATCTCCGAAATAGCAGCTTTAACTTCTACCGTTTATACTTTGTTCGTTTTAATAACACCAATAATAATTTTTCAACTTTTGATAAAAAAACAATCAACCTTAAATTAATTAGACTTTCATAAGTTGTTGTTCAGAAATAAAAGGGACTACATAATCGTAACCAACCGGCTAGCAGTTTCTATGTGGAAGCCCCAAACCTGGTCACCCAAATAGACAACTGCTTGCAGAAGAGCCCTCGCCCAGGCACGTCAGAAGACATCTCAACGAACTGACGGACCAAGTCCAGAGGTCCATTAAAAAACCTCTGGACACGTCAGCTTATCGACAGTTATGTAGACTCCAGACCTGTGAATGCCGTTCTAGGCGCACAACCACCGGACATCGACGAGACGGAGCTTCATCTGCCTTGGGAAACTAGAACCATAATAGCTCAACTTCGCTCGGGCTAGTGCAGCAGGTTAAACTCATACCTGAGCAGATTAGACGCAGATGTGCCAAATGAGTGTCCGGCTTGCGGAGAGACACCCCAGACTTGAAACATCTCTTCATTTGCCCGGAAAACCCGAAAAAACTAACGCCTTTGTCCCTGTGGACCGACCCCATTGAGGCTACACGCTTCTTAGGGCTTCCGTTAGTTGAGCTTGACGACAACGACTGAGATATTAGCCGATCAGGGAGGGGTTGTTGTAGCCGCTACAACAACAGCAGCATCCCAAAAATTTGGTGACTTTTTGTGCAGTTTAAAATAATTAGTTGGATTAACACATTTTGAAATATGTCCAAAAATCCGAAATCCAAATCAAGTTCATACAGTTATGCACTTACCTGAAAGCAAAGGATTAGCAGTAAGAGCTGCTGATTGCTGTTCTTTCGCCTTTTGGACTAAGATTGTCTCTAAATCGGGTAGTATTTCAGGACGTTGACATATACCGGGCGCACTTTCTTGTCGCAATAGTTGCGAATTTGTTTCCGAATTTGCACGCGAAAGCGATTTTCTGGGATTGCGCTTGCTAAATGATGTAGATTTAAAAAGTTTGGCAGATAAATTAGACAAGAAGGGTTTTTTTAAATTGTCAACTTCTTGTGGGCATTTTGCTCCATCCTTCGTCATTGGTTTTTTGCTTACTTCAGGGCCCCATGCCTTTTCATTTGACTCGCAAAGTTCTACAGCATCAAACACTTTAACAACTTTTTCTTCGAAATCCTTCCTTGCAATCGGTCGTGCTGGCTCTTCACACTGGTTGAATTCATTGAGAATGCTGGAACCTGTGTTACCGCCAACTAATGCTGCAATGCTGCTGGACATCTCTAGACTTTCATTGTTGTGGTGTTTTCCAATTGAATGGCCTTCATCCTGAGAGATTTCCAACACATTGAATCCATCATCATCAAATACATCATTCAACGTGTCCTCCAAAAATGAAGTCTTCAACTTATAATACATTTTGTAAGAATCTCGTATTTCTTGTGGCGCCTCTCGAATATCATACTAAAACAAAAAATTATATACAGCTGATTGTTATATGGAGCTGGTTACTTACTTTAGATGGAATACGAGAATATTTTCGTTTAAAATCCTTCTCCCAAGTTTTAACGCGTATTTTATATTTTTGGTACTTAAGTTTATAAGCAGAATCACTCATCGCCAGATCATTTATTTAATATTAAATACAACTACAGAAAATTGCAAACAAAATCCAATGTTTTGTAGTTGACGTCAAATGTCATTTTTCGCGCCACTGGAATTTTCATAAAGCTAGTCCAAAACGATACGATTTATCATCCCAGTATTGCGCTAGCCGGTGTCTGCAGTTCGTCTGTTCGATTTGTCCACTAGTATATTCAAGAGCAGAAGTGTTCCATGAACTCTCTTTGCTCTAATAATAGGGCTTTCTGCGCCGCCCTAATTGCACAATTTCCATACTCAATTTTAAATTGAAATTGTAGCTGTTTACACCACCATCTTAATTTCGATTACAGTTTGTTTAATGTTTGTTGTTTTGTTAGTTTTTTATCTGCTTTGTTTTTATTTTCTTGTTATTGACGAATATATTTTCTTCTTTTTGTTCATTCATAAGAGTGTGTCAGACGTTGCAATATATTTCGATGCAATAAATTTCGGAAAGGCTGTCAAATTGAGAAATCAGTTGCATGAGCAGTCACACCTGGCATGGAAAGTGTCTTTCGAAATAGGTTTTTATTTCCGAAAGGCGAATTGCAGGAAAAGTTTCTGTAATCGCTTTTTGGTTGTTCACACGCGAATGAGTTTCTGGCAATCTTTCTCGATACTAAAATGCAACCATGGGCCGTTTGTTTGCTATTTCTCTTCATGAACGAAAGACACAAGATCACGTAAGAAGAAGAGAGTGAAAAAAGTCGATTTTTTTTAGCGGGTTCTACGCCATCTTGTTTCACTGGAAAACGAGCGAAAAGTAAACAAAGCAAAGAAAACAACGAAAACCAAAATTAGCCGTCAACCAGGTTTTGAGCAACCGGCCCTAAGTATATTAAGCAAAATAATATATTTCAAGCATATCTGATATTTAATTCAACAATTGGGGTGTTCACAGTTCGTTCCAAATTGTCTGAAAATGTAGACGTCTACATTTTGAGACATCTTTAGCATCAAA